GCAGAGGAGGGGAAGTGAGTGTCTGGGGAGCAAGAAGGATGGAGGGGAAGCTTGCACTGCGAGCAATCCCATGGGGGAGTGTGCTGTGCATGGGGCCTGAGGAGTGGGCTGGTACCAACAGGGGTACACGCTGGGTGGGTAGGCATGCCCACAGCCTCATACACGGGCCTGAGAGCACAGAGACTCTCAGCCTGACGGAGAATCAGATCAGTGCAGAGGACCAAAAGGAGGCAAGTCTAGAAAGGGGGTCCAGGGCTGGGCTGAGCGAGAACAGCCCGGTGTGGAGTCAGGGCCCTATCTCTCGCTGCAGGCGAAGCAGATGATGAGACACTCACGGGCGGGGTTAGGAAGACCAATTCAGCAGCACAGGCTGGAGACCACTGTGTGGAGAAATAGCTGGGAGATGACCCCGGGGTGAAATGATAAGGACTCTCAGTTAAGGAGGTGGCAAGTTGGTGAGAGAAGCTAACCTTTGAGCTAAGGGCCTGGTGACTGCTTAAAGGCTTTTCATTGAGGTGTGGAGCATCAACAACCCAGGCCATTGCTCCCTCCTCCTGTTCCCAGCCCAGGGCTCAGGCCTGGGAAGTGACAGATTGTGAATGATCCCAAAGGTCTGCACAGAGAAATATGGTAGATAACCAGGAGAAGGCAGGCGGGGAAATGGTACAGCCCTGGGGTAGGATAGTGCAAAAGAGAAAGAATGAGGCAATCTCCACACACTGGCACGGAGTGGTTTTTCCACACTTTATATAGAGTGAAAAAACGAAAGTTCCATAGCAATGCCTGTGGAATGATGCCACTGGTGTGTGTACATGGTAAGAACCTCATTATATGTGGTTCATGTGTGACTATGCAGATGCATTTTTTGGTTGTTTAATTGTATTTATCTGTCTATTTGTCTTTGGCTGTGCTGGGTCTTTGTTGCTGTGTGCAGGCTGTAGTTGCAGTGAGCGGGGGCTACTCTCGAGTTGCAGTGCACAGATTCTCGTTGCAGTGGTTTCTCTCTGGTTGTGGAGCACGGGCTCTAGGGTGTGCAGTCTTTAGTAGTTGTGATGCACAGGCTTAGTTGCTCCGTGGCGTGTGGGATCTTCCCCAACCAGGGATCAAACTCCTATCTCCTGCACTGGCAGGCAGATTTCAGGGTTTACTGGACCACCAGGGAAATCCATACATTTTTAAAAGGTCCAGAAAGATGCACAACAATTGGCAGGGTTACCTGTAGGGAAGGGAGAGTAGCTGCAGCATGGTGTGAGACGGGCCCTGGTGCCCCAATTTTTTGTGCTGCCCTAAAACTCAACATTCAAAAAACAAAGATCATGGCATCCGGTCCCATCACTTCATGGCAAATAGACAGGGAAACAATGGAAACAGTGACAGACTTTGTTTTCTTGGGCTCCAAAATCACTGCAGATGGTGACTGCAGCCACCAAATTAAAAGACAGTTGCTCCTTGGAAGAAAAGCTACGACCAACCTAGACAGCATATTAAAAAGCAGAGACATTATTTGTGAACAAAGGTCCATCTAGTCAAAGCTGTGGTTTTTCCAGTAGTCATGTATGGATGTGAGAGTTGGACCATAAAGAAATCTGAGCGCCAAAGAATGAGTGCTTTTGAACTGTGGTGTTGGAGAAGACTGTTGAGAATCCCTTGGACTGCAAGGAGATCAAACCTGTCAATCCTTAAGGGAATCAGTCCTGAATATTCATTGGAAGGACTGATGCTGAAGCTGAAGCTCCAACTCTTTGGCCATCTGATGTGAAGAACTGACTCATTTGAAGAAACCCCGATGCTGGGGAAGATTTGAAGGTAGGAGGAGAAGGGGACATCAGAGGATGCGATGGTTGGATGGCATCACTGACTTTATGGACATGAGTTTGAGCAAACTCTGGGAGTTGATGATGGACAGGAAAGCCTGGCATGCTGCATTCCATGGGGTCACAAAGAGTTGGACACGGCTGAACTGATTTTTTTGTAGAGCTGGGGAATAGTGGTGGCTTGTAATGCCTGGCCAGGAGAGGGTAAGATGAGAATGACCCCCATTTCAGGGATTCTCTTTTTTTTTTTTTAGTGGTTTTTGTCATACATTGAAATGAATTAGCCATGGATTTACATGTATTCCCTATCCCAGTCCCCCCTCCCACCTCCCTCTCCACCCCATCCCTCTGGGTCTTCCCAGTGCACCAGGCCCGAGCACTTGTCTCATGCATCCAACCTGGGCTGGTGATCTGTTTCACCCTAGATATACATGTTTTGATGCTGTTCTCTTGAAACATCCCACCCTCGCCTTCTCCCACAGAGTCCACAAGTCTGTTCTATACATCTGAGTCTCTTTTTCTGTTTTGCATATAGAGTTATTGTTACCATCTTTCTAAATTCCATATATATGTGTTAGTATACTGTAATGGTCTTTATCTTTCTGGCTTACTTCGCTCTGTATAATGGGCTCCAGTTTCATCCATCTCATTAGAACTGATTCAAATGAATTCTTTTTAATGGCTGAGTAATATTCCATGGTGTATATGTACCACAGCTTCCTCATCCATTTGTCTGCTGATGGGCATCTATTTCAGGGATTCTCAAACCCTGCTATGCACCAGAGTTACCAAGGGGCTGGTTTAATGTAGGTTCCTAGGCCCTATCCCAGCCATACAGAGTAGCATGTCAGGGGGAGGCCTAGACATCTGCATTTTAACCAGCTTCCCATGATTCTCATGTCAATGATCACTAGCAACACCTCTGGGGCAAACGCCCTCCCTCCCTCCCTCAGGTGCTCAACCGCCAGCCTCATTAGGGAAGGCGGCTTCCCCTTCAGAGATGGAGAGGCCAGGGGAGTATTGTGTGGGGCACGTCCTCTTCTGTGGGATAAATGCCATTCTTAACAACCAAAGTCACTTAGCTCAGAGTCCAGTGCATTGAGCTCCATCTGCTGCCACCTCTGGGACCTTCATACATATTAAGGAGCAAAAGTAACCACTCAAACTTCCCTGGGCAGTTTTTAAAAGAGATCCAAGCTTCCCAAATTCATTTGGAATTCAAAGCAAGTGGTTAGAAACTGGCATTAATTAAATATTTAATTGATGCCCATTAAGGCTGGAATATTGGCTTTAGTTCAAATTTATGACATGGCTGTATTTTTTATAGCTGCACATATATTGCATATAGGCCATTGGTTCCTCTCATGTAATAAAGTGTTGGGTATATTTATGCCCATTTTATAGGACTTGGAGCATAACTGAAGTATTGCAAGCGATTATGGAGACATACAGTATTTGCTTTTATGACATTGGTGGTGGTATAAATTTGCTGTTAAGTCACCGCTGATCAGACCAGTAACCACCAATTACAACTCTGGACCTCTGGAAAAGTTTGGGCTGCTTTACAACAATCCCTTTTATTATGCAGTTTTTGGGCACCTGTTGAAGCAAAATGAAGTCTGTTCGCATATTTACAAGGTCAGTGTGGTTAAATGTTCCCTCATCTCATGTGGCTGAAACTAAGTCCAGAAGCAAACTTCCATGACTTAAAACATAAGTTTGGAGATCCACTGAAGAACGGTGTGGATTGTGGGTGATAGATGCATGTGGGGGATGGGGGATGGCAATAGGAACACACAGGTCCCCTCTTGCTCTTTCGTTAAGCCTCCAGAAGTGCTTGACCTGGGCCTCTGACCTCTCAACAGTGATCCTTTCCACCTGCAAGGAGGAAGGTGGAGGAACTAGAGAATTCCTGGTCTTCCAACAATCAACAAAACTGATGCTGAGTCAGTTTCGGTTCAGTGGTTAAAACTGGGCCAGAGCTAGCCCTTCTTCCGGAGCGCTCCTGGGGTCATTAAATCAATTTGGCATAACTTTAAATTTCTACAAAGGCTGAAGTAGGCCCCAGTCTTTTTTAATTAACTCAAGAACCAGAAGACAGAGATCTGAGGCCCAACATCCTTCTTTGAAGTTTAAAAAACAACAGTAACAACAACCAGGCAACAAACAAAACTGACCTTTTCTGAAAATATGCTGTGTGCCAGGACCACCCCGAGGGCTGCCCAGGCATGGCCTCATTTGACCCTCAGAACAGCCCTATGTCAGAGGCGCTGTTATTTCCCCATTTACAGCCAAGGAAAGTGAAGCCAGAGAAGGTGAGTGATTTGTCCATGGTCACCCAGCCAGAGAGGGGCTCAACATTGAGTGAGGTCCCCCTGGTTCCAAGCCCAAGCTCTCAGCCCTCTGCTTTCGGGGCTTATTGTTGGGGGATGAGGCACGTGGAGGCTTTGATTCTCTAGATCCAGACCTAGGGAGATGAGGAAGGGCAGAGGCACCGGGTGGTCCAGAGAGAAAGTCCAGACACAACCACAGATGTCCTTGCCGCCTGTGTTAGAATGGGTCCTCTCCTCTGCATCACTTGTATCCCCTGCCCCTAGGTCTGAGAACAGTTCCCACAGCACCAGAATTGGCCAGCCGAGCTGGGAGCTTAGAGCATGTGGGCACAGATGACCCATGAGGGAAGGGCCCCCAGGGCAGTGCACCGATGTTGGCAGTGCCCTCTGGCCCTGTGTGAGCTGGAGCTCTGTGGGTGACCCGCATACCACAGGGCCGTATCAGGAAGCAGGGGGAGAAAAGGCCGAGCTGGTGGTTTTAACCAGCAGTGGTCCCCAGAAGGGGGCTCTCTGAGTGGCAGCTGTGGCATGAGTGACAGGCCAGGCCTCAGCACTGAGGGGGGTGATCCCAGGGGGGCCAGGGCTGCCGGCGTCGGCTGCCAGTACTTCCCCAGCTTACTCATCAGACTCAAAAAACAACTCCACCCACTTGTGGTGAACACTGCCCTGCATTTTTCACCTTTGGGCTACCATTCTGTGGAAGAAACATCAGTCTGGGAGGAAAGTTTTGGCCAAGTTCAAAGGGAAAAGCTTGAGGGATGGAAAGTCCTTTGAAACCTCGCTTGGATGGTGACTGCATGACCCAGATTTTCCCTTTTCAAAAGTATGCCCAGAGCTCAAACACCCGGCAGTCATGAAGATACACGGGCAGGAGAGTCTTGGGGCAAACACACCATCCAAGCACAGCAGCAGCCTTGCTCAGAGAAACCTCAAGCCCAGGGGGCTGGGCCAGACTCCAGAGGGCAGCCCCGCTGTGAGCACTTCCTGTGGGCCTCTGGGGCCGCCTGCAGAGGGTGAGGCTTCAGCTCACCCCACTGTCCATGGCTGGGTCCTCTCCTGGGCCTGGCTTGCATCTGGACACAAGGCCCCCTCTCCCTTTTACCCACTTTCATTCCCCCAGATCTGGATGCTGAGACCCTTGGAGGTGATCCTAGGAAGCACTCCTGCTGGAGCGGGAAGGGGGCATGGGGGGAAGGAGAGGATGACTGAGAGAGTTACTACTGTGGGCATCTGGGATTGAATTCTGCTGGGAAATAGCCCAGACCAGCAACTCAGAGTTAGCCCACCTGGGAGAAAGGGAATTGGGGTATTTATACTCTGTCGTGCATTGATTAGGGGCCGCCAGTTCCATCACTCCACAGAGAGTAGACTGCAGTGCTAGTGGGGGTCGGGGGAGCAGGAGAGAGGAGGAAGTTGGGCCACCAGCTCGGAGGTGGTAAAGGCTGAGGGACAGCAGCTGCACTTCCATGTCGGGCCCATGCAGGTGGCTGTTTCCTAGACTCAACACTCCTAGGCGCTGCAGCTGATAAAGATGGGCCACGTCCCTGGACATGTCCCAGGTTTCTCTAACAGGGAGAGAGCACCTGTCCTCTCTCCTTCCAGCTGGGCAAGTGGTTTGGCCTAGCAAGGAGAATGGCTGATGGAGGCAGAGGCAGTGTCCCACCCTCCACCTGCGGACAGGCAGTTCAGGGGCTGATTTTCCTAGAATAGGATCACTCCTTTCTCCCTGCATCCAAGGATCCAAGGAGTTAGTTCCTCACAGTTCATTCCCATCTCTCATAGGGAAGATGGCTTTCCCGATGGTTCAACAGGTAAAGAATCCGCTTGCCAATGCAGGAGACATAGGAGACGTGAGTTAGATCCTTGGGTTGGGAAGATCCCCTGGAGGAGGAAATGGCAACCCTCTCCAGTATTCTTGCCTGGAGAATTCTGTGGACAGAGGAGCCTGGTGGGCTACAGTCCATGGAGTTGCAAAGAGTTGGACATGAATGAGCACATACACAGGAAGGAAGAAGAGGACATGCTGAGGGTGAAAGCAAGGAGACTGCAAGCCAGCCTCTCTTCAGTTTCCTCTCTCCAAAGTGGGATTGTCCAGCCCTGAGTTCTGAGAGCACCAGCCAGCAGCCCACGGCCATGCCGAGCCTGGATCTCACTGCAAAAACTAGCTACCAGGGCCTTGCCGTTCCACGGGCCTCCAGCATCCCATCAAAGCAGACTTTAGCTTCATTGTCACATTGCACCCCAGGTCTTCCTAATCCTCCCCACCTGGCCCCCATGGCTGCCCCTATTCTAGAAGGAGCTTTGGGGTGTCCTGGCTGGGCCTCTATAAACCAGTCGGCCCTGCTAGGTTCTGCTGATGAGGAAGCCAGAAGAGAGAAGAGGCAGGAGGTTGAGGGAGCTGGGACTTGCTCCCCCTGGACAGGATTTGCTTTTCATTCCTGTCATCCTCACCCTAACAGTGGTTCCTCACCCTGGCAGCAGTATCGGGTCCAGTCTCTAGCTCTTCTGGCTCACTTCTAGAATCAGCCTCCTGTGCCCATTCAGATGCCCAGCCAGCCAGCAGCACCCATCCTCAGAAGCCCAGGGCCCAATGCCTCCCCTTGAACCCTTCTTTTACACTTCTAGATCCCAACATTTCTAACCCTTCCTTGTTCCTGCCCTGGGGTGGTGGTAGCTCTTGCCGGTATTCATTCGGTTTTCTCCACGTGTCTCCCCTCCTTTTTTCCCCTCTTTTTGAGTCATCCAATACCTGTTTAAGCAATTCTCTAGATCAAATTCTCTCTGTTAAAATAACTGCTGTGTTTTCTGTTTTCTGAATCAGACACTGACCCCGTGGCTGCCAACAGACTACATGAGGAAATTGTAATTCACCATCTGTTTTTCATCCATCAAAGGCTGCCAGCTTACCCAGTTACCACACTGCCATGAGGCTGTTCCAGCCCCAAACAAAAAAAACCCCGATGCTTTGGTCAGCCTGTGTAACCTGATCATGAGCAGAGTAGGTGTTCCCTTCTGTCTTTAGAAGTAATGAGGCTTCTTGGGTCCCTCAAGATCCTTGGGTGGGGTTGGGGGGAGATCATGATGGGAGCGTTGATTTGGCCTCAGGTCTCCTAATTCTTGCACACCTCTCTGCTCCTCAGATGGCTCACACCCCTCCAGGCTCGCGACTCCCATGGCTCCTGCCCAGGTTGCCACCCTCCGTCCTCCTAGTCAGTCATTAGGGAAGGTGCTCTCCATGTGGTGGAAGGGTCCCCACAGGGCCCAGACTGGGGCATCCACAATCTTGGGACTGGAAGAGAACCTAGAGATCAACGGCTCCCACTCATGGAGAAACCATGACACAGAGAGGTTAGGCAGCTTGCCCGAGGTCACACAGCGTGTTAGAGGCAAGCCCTAACAAGGGCTAGGGCCAGATTCTCTGTCTCACTGGGGTGAGTTCCAAGGTCTTTCCATGAGCTACACTGAAATTACCCTTACTGAAAGCCTCTGCAGGCCAGCTGAGTTCAGCTTGTTTCTGCGCAGTATCCTTCTCTCCTAGACTTCCTTACAAGTTGGCATTTTCTATCTAGTTCTCTGCTTCCCCTGATTTAGCCCTGAGCTTCCTCTGAGCTTCTTATTCTGTTCTTCTGGTCCACCCCTCTCCTGCTACCGCCCGATTCTCTGTGGTCCTAACTGCCCTCTCCCACCCAGCCCTAGGCCTCTCTATCCCTCTTACGGGGGTAGGGGCTTTCACTTCCGCATTTGCAGGTAACCCTTAGCAATTAGTCTTGGCTCTTGGGTTATGTAAACAGTGGCTCAACCCAGCGCATAACCCTGTAATCATAGCAAGTCCCTGCCTCGCTGCTCCATGGGCATTGATTAAGCTGTCTTTCCCTAAAAGACTGTCTTTTTTCCCTATGATTGCAGGCTTGTGGCCATCATTCTTCTGAGGATTCTTGGGAAGATGGGGTGCCACCCTCAAAAGTACACAAGTCATCATCCTGTGGCTCAGCGTGGGGTGCTCCCCAAAGCATTGCTTTCTGGCAAACTTGCCAGTGCAGAAAAAGGAAAGCCATCATCTCCTTTGAGGAGTGAAGCAGAGGCAGTTCTTAGAAATCACATCTAAAGCTTTTACCCCCAGCGTCGCACAGTAGAGCTCAACTGATGTTGGCAGAGTGAGACTGTTTACCCTAGTTCAGGATTTTCAAGTCTGATGTAAATCCAAATCACCAGGGAAGCCGTTTAAAAGTAAATTTCTGTCCCCCAACCCCCAGCACTACTGAGCTTTCAAAACAGTCCCTGGGAAGCAGGAGGTTGTCTTAGGATCTCTGTTCTTTTAAAGACTCTCTAAATGATTCTGATGTTCATACAAATTGAGAAGCACTGCCTAGACAGATGGAATACATTGGTAGGAAAAAGGCGTGCAGGGAAGGGTTTGAAGAACTTGGAGGATGAGGCTGTGCAGTCAGGCTCAGTTGTTAGGAGAAGCACACTGATTGAATCCGCCCACCCCGGCCAGGCACCATAGTAACCATTCCCATGAGTTGTTTTATGACAGGAGATCCTGGTAAGGAATACCGAACTAATAAGCCACCACCAACCAGAAGAGTTTGGGAAAGGTCGAAAGAAAACACCGCGTGTCCGTCCATTTTCCAGAATCCCTCTCGCTAGCATCCATCTTGGCTGAGCGATGCCTGCACCACCAGGAAAGACTCTGAATTAGAATGATTGGTCAAAGACCATGGGAAACTAATCCCATCACCATAAAACCCGAGACTGTGAGCCACGCGGCAGAGCAGTTCTCCTGGGTTCCCTCACCCTCCTGCTCTCCACCCAGGTGCCCTTCCCAATAAAATCTCTTGCTTTGTTGGCACATGTGTCTCCTCGGACAATTCATTTCCCAGTTTTAGACAAGAGCCCAGTTTTGGGCCCTGGAAGGGTTTCCTTTTCCTGCAACACTTTCAGGCTGAGTATTTCTCCCAAAGCAGGCTGTGTGGGGGCAGAAGCTAGATTCAGGTCTCTCTAGGTATGGTCAGCACTTCTTGGTCAGGAGCATCTCTTTTGGGATCACACTGCCTCTGGTGCACAGACAGAGGCCTAGCCACTCTGATATCCTCCCTGCCGGGGAGACAGGGAGCTCTGTGAAAGTACAAGGAACTTCTGTGAAAGTATTCAATACAAGGTTGCAGTGTTTTCCACCACAGCCCCTACACATTGAAAATTTTCAAGTGGATCTGGATGGGGAACACATGTAAATCCATTGCTGATTCATGTCAATGTATGGCAAAAACCACCACAATATTGTAAAGTAATTAGCCTCCAACTAATAAAAATAAATGGAAGAAAAAAAGAAAGAAAGAGATAAAAAATTATCAGGTGGCATTGGTAAGTCCCACTTTGACAAGACCATTAGCTTTTCATTTTGCATGAATCTGATGACAAGAAAAACACATTTAAAATATATGTGACTAAAGTACTTTTGATTCTATCACTCCTAAAATCCTATCTGTCATTTCTTATCTTTTTATCTATGGGACAATAATTTAACAGCATTTATGCATCAACCAGCATCTGAAAGTAGTTTGTATTGGAAATCCAAGTGATGCTACTGTCTGTGGAAATGGGAATGGTTACCTCCCCTGGGGATGTCTCTCCCTGCCCAGTAGTCATTTTCCTGTTGGGTGACCTGCCCCTAGATTGGCTTGTTTCATTCAGAGGTCCTTCCAAACCGGCCCAATCAGATTTTTTCCCCCTCTAATAAACTGCAACTGGGACTGAGAAAGTGGAGCCAGTCTTACCCAGTCTTTATTCTTGACCAAAAAAGTGAATACTCATGAACAATGGAGGTAATATTCTGCCAAATGGTTGGAAGAACAGAGACAACCACTTACAGATCGAGTAAGGAGATGTCAGAGAGGAGCAGAGAATGGGAAACGGTGGTGGGTCTTGGTAAGGTTACTGCATCGAGCTCTGGCTTCATCAGACACTCCTACATCCTTGTAATGCAATGCCCATTAAAAAAAAACAACAACAACATAAGCCAGTACCCATTTTCTTTTCCTTGTCACCACTGAATCCTAACTCATGAGCAGGGAAAGGGGTCACCAGTCCAGGGACTGACAGGTTGCTAAGGCAGCCTAGGCATAGCACTGAAGCTAACTGGGTAATAATGTTCAGCATTTGTTACTGAGCACCTACTGTATGCCAGACACAAGGTAAGTGTTTCATATTCACCAACTATTAGAATCTTTTCAATGACCCTAAACAGCAAATGTTATTATTTCATTTTCTAAAAATGAGAGCTGAGGCTCAAAGGGAAGAGACAACATGCTCAATTCACACAATGAGTATAGAACTGAGATTCAAAGCCAGGTCTATTGGACTTGAAAGTCCAGCTTCTTTCAACTACACTTCACTGCTTTTTCATGTGGTGTAAAACTGAGGAGGACGCAGACACTGGCAAACTGTTCATATTTGGTGTAGCTGGTATCTGGAGAGCAAAGGCCAGAAGACAGAGGTGGGGGGCCCAGCTCCAGGCCTGAGGGTCTGCTAGATCAGAAAGAGTTTCAGCAGAAGCTGTTCAGGACCCTGGAGAGCTCCAAAGGCCCATCAAAGCCTAAGCCCTCTGTCATGAACCTCAGGAGGCTGAAGGCTGTTCACTGGCATACATGGGGGTGGGAGGGTGAGAGGGTTATTCCTCTGGGCCCCAGGAATTATCCAGGTCATCCCATGCACTCCTATACCCTACCATAGGTGTTTCTCTGCATCAGCTTTTGGGAAAGAATGCTGACTTAGGCTGCCCATGTTCAAATCATTGAAAATAACTTAAATAATCTTTTTCAAGCTAACCCACCTTTTCATAGATGAAGTGACTGGCAAATGTAATCTGTTAATCATGCCAAGCCTCCTTCGGCAGTGTAAAGCCAAACTGGCTGCTTTGCATAATAAAAGGTTAAAATTATGAGCTGTATAGGGAACAAATAAAGCTTGATCATTCAGGCTCAAAATCTGTGACTGAGCATCTTTACCCTTGCCTTTCACATTTGCTCCAGCATCACATGTCTGCCCTCAGCTCAGTCTGTTTATTTTCAATCCACGTTTTCCCCAAATAGACATTAGCAACATTCCCTCGGTTTTCTGGCAGCACCCTCTGCATCAAACAAGACAACAGCATTTCTTTGACCCTATGCATTGGGAGTTTTCCTCCACACCATAAATGGAGCCTTTGCTTGGTATTTAAGTTGGCTTTTTGTGGGAAGTGCTGGCCAGTCCAAACTTCCTTAATAAGTTCTCCATGACTGCATCTGCAATGATGGTAATGAAATCATTCTGAATATCAGTGGGCAGATAATGAGCCCACAGTCAGTGACCAGGGTGAGGGCCCAGATGGAGGGAGGTGGGTGGGGTGAGTGAGGGGAAGTGGGAGCAAAGCTGTCTTCCTCGCTCCTAAAGGAAATAGAAAATTAACTAACCCACCGCCTGACTTTTCTCTTCTCCCCCCGATTCAGAGAGATTCTGGTGGAGTGCATCCAGGAGTTTAA